AATCGACCCATTTGCCAAAACCCTTTTATATTCAGAGGTTCCCCGATACTACACATGGAATGCGTCTAGAAAAGAGTGGAAACGTCGCATTCAAGGCACCCCAGTAGAAAACTGGCCCGGGGTAAAATCAGGGGATGCTCTTGGTCGTGTATATACTGTTCACGTGTGCAATTTTGAGTGTTTTTGTTTAAGAATGCTCCTACACCATATTCGTGGACCAACTAGCCACAGGGACCTTAAAATTGTGAACGGACAAGAGTGCGCAACATACAGAGAGGCATGTGAAGTTCTCGGTCTGTTGGAGAATGATAATCACTGGGAGGAAACCATGATAGAAGCAATACAATGCAGATCACCTACAAAAATAAGAGAGTTGTTTGCAACCTTGATCTCAACCTGCGGCGTTTCAAATCCCCAACAGCTATGGGAAAAATATAAAAATGATATGGCAGAAGATATATTAAGTCGATTGCAGATGACCCACCCGGACATCACGTACAATGATTTTATTTACAACGAGGCTCTCACTAAAATAGAAAATAAAACAATGGAAATAACTGGTAAAAAACTAAGTGAATTTGGAATAACTAGCCCACAACGATCAGAGGAAAGCGTAAATGACATCGCCAGAGAGCTAGATTATAATGTCACTATACTGCAACAGCAAGTAAATAACATGGTCCCACGATTGTTACCGGAGCAAAAAACTATTTTCGACGAAGTAACACGCTGCATAGAGTCAAGGAATGGTGCACTTTTCTTTCTTGATGCTCCGGGGGGCACTGGAAAAACCTTTTTGCTGAACCTTCTTCTGGCTCATGTCAGGAAGGATAAAAACATTGCAGTAGCCGTTGCTTCCTCTGGAATTGCTGCCACGCTGCTCATTGGAGGACGAACTGCGCACTCCGTATTGAAACTGCCTCTAAATCTTGCTCAAGAGGAATCTCCAACCTGCAATTTTAGTAAAAATAGTGGTCGGGCCGCGATGCTGCGCCAGTGTAAGCTGTTAGTTTGGGATGAGTGTACCATGTCGCACAAAGGAGCTATTGAAGCTCTCAATAGGACTTTGCAGGATATAAGGGACTGCAAGAGCATAATGGGAGGATTGGTAGTTTTATTAGCAGGTGACTTCCGTCAAACACTACCAGTCATACAAAGGGGGACTCCAGCAGATGAAATAAGAGCTTGCTTAAAATCGTCTAAGTTATGGGACCATGTCATAAAGTTACAATTAACCACAAACATGCGAGTGAGATTATTCAACGACATTCAATCGGGTCATTACGCAGAAACATTGCTAAATATCGGTGACGGGAAAATGACAGTAGATGCAGAGGGAATGATTACTTTAACGGAAGAGTTTTGTAACGTTGTGGGCAGCGAATCGGAGTTGGTAGCAAAAGTTTATACTGACTTACACGATAATATACATGATGACCAATGGCTCTGCGAACGCGCAATATTAGCACCAAAAAATGAAACGGTCACTAAAATAAATGACTATATTTTGGATGAAGTTGTGGGGGAAACTACTGAATATTTATCTGTAGACACAGTAGTAGAAACAGACCATAGTACCTCATATCCTGTAGAGTTCTTAAATTCTTTGGAACTATCTGGGGTGCCTTCTCATAAATTAAAATTAAAGGTAGGGGTTCCGGTGATGCTCATGCGTAATCTTGATGCCCCTAGACTGTGTAATGGTACCAGGCTGCGTGTCACTCATCTTGGGCGGAATATTATTACAGCAACTATTTTAACTGGCGCAGCAAAAGGTGAAAGTGTACTCATTCCTCGGATTCCGATTATTCCAACGGACCTCCCATTTCAATTTAAAAGACTTCAATTTCCTATAAAGGTTTCATTTGCAATGACCATTAATAAAGCACAAGGCCAAACTATGAGGGTTGCTGGAGTACACTTAGAAAAACATTGTTTTTCGCATGGTCAGCTTTATGTAGCGTGTTCCCGGGTATCCAGTGCCCAAAATCTGCACGTTTTTGCTCCCAAAGGTAAAACGTATAATATAGTTTACCACTCAGTTTTGGTTTAACATTGCATAATTATGAAACCCTTATAGGAAATACTTAAAAGTCTTTTAAATTGAAATGGGAGGATGGTATTTGTGGTAATGCGAAAATAACTCCTGTTGTTCTTTCACGCTAAATGACTGAACGGATTTTGAAGAAATTTGGTATAAAGATAGTTTGAGTCTTGGAAAAGCTAGGCAAAATCTAAAAAGCGCGATATAACCGAATTCCACGCGAGTAAACAGCTATTTGTTTCTTTGCCTGTCTTAAACGGCAAAACGAAGGTACTTAACGTGATTTTTTAACTGAAGGTAATTGAAGGGATCGATAGTCACATAGGCTACTTTTTATCCTTTTGTGACGCGAGCGAAGCCGCGGGTAAAAGCTAGTAACTAATATTTACACTTATTTGACTACACGATTGGCGCGGTGGTTGGGCATCTGGCTGCCACGCAACGTATCACGGATTCGATTCCCACACGGAACAACTCTTTGTGTGATCCAGTGATTGTTGTTCCGGGTCTGGGTGTCATGTATATGTGTACTTGTATGTTTGTAAACGCACCCACGACACAGGAGAAATTCCTAGTGTAGGGCAATGTTTTTTAACAAGAAAAAAACAATATCGTGAGACATACTAACTTAAATCGCGGATTACTTACGTGAAAATACTAAGAAAAGCTCTACTAAGTGGCCACAGAGGGGCTCTTCCTCATGAGCAGCTTGCGCGGTTGCGGCGATGTCGCGTAACTTATTTTGCCACTGTTTCCTCAGTTGGCGGAGTACCATATCACGCTGACATATCAGTCGGTTGTTCTATGTACCTACCAGAGATAGAATTTTGATCGTGTTAAGTATAGCGATTAGCGTTTATGTAAAAACTCTATCCCTTCCTAAAAGCGAAATCCTCACACATTATGTGTTTTGAATCCAAAAATATCGATTTTTTTAAGGTGTAGAATCATTCGATGCCTGGTCCCGTCCGGGTGAGGTGAGGTTAGAGGGAGTGTCAGACTCTTACTGACTAAAAACCACCCCGTTCCTACTCCTGCACTTGAGCCAGACCCCGTCAACCTGTTAAGTCCTCCGCGGCTCCGTATCAGAATCTCCGTACCGGAATCAGCTCATCGATTTTAGACTATTTAAAAATAGTTTTGTTTAATTTCTATAGGAAACTTCAACAAAAATTCAGAATCGGTTACTAATTCGATTTTTGTAAACCCTTGTTGACAATGACCGTGCCGTAAATCGACAAAATAAATAGTAGCAAAGCGTTTGGCAAAGACAACGGGTGCATTCAGCCTATAGCTCAATCTGCCTTGACAATTGCTACTCTCAATAGCTCTAGAAACTTTATAGTCTAGAGCTGAGAATTACAATTTCAAATGCGCGGGATTTTCTTGATACTCGATATTACCTGTCACCTTGGTCTGATTGATTTAATTGTGTGTGTGATAATTTATGTGTTTGTGTGCAATCCTATGCGTGATATTGATGTAGGTGATCTTTGTGTGTTCTGCTTATTAAAGTCATTGAAATCTTGAGATCTTAGAACTGTAAATTCCTTGCGTTGATGGTAAGTTAAACGTTAAAATCTTTTTTTAAGATGTAAGCAATCGGCGTCGCCCATGGACACCTGGAACACCAGAGGCGTTACAAGTGCGTTACCAGCCTTCTGGATTAGGAATTTGAGGATTGTTGGGGATTCAGGGATTGGAGAAAGGAAGGGGAGGGGGGTAATTGGACCTTCAGTAACCTCACTCACACGACGAAACACAACACAACGTTGTTTCACGTCGGTCTTCTGTGAGGTCGTGGTATAACTACGGTCGAGCCGGTCCATTCATGTCGAAGCATGGCTCTCCTACACTTATCTCCAATGAGGTATACAAAGGGTTAATGTTGGCTATTTGACTTTATTGGTGAAGTATTCATTTTCTTATTTCAAGTTCGGTTACAAGTTAATCATTTTGTATTCGATATTATAACGAATGTTGAATGTCGTGGTGGTCTGGCGGTTTAAACTGGGTTAAACCTGAGTTTAACCTGAGGGTGCGAGTTCAAAACCTACCAACGGCAAGTACCAGTGTGACTTTTTTCGATTAATGTGTACTTTCTACGATTATTTAGATACCGCTGACAAACGGTGAAGGAAAACATTGTGAGGAAACCTGGGCTTATAATTTTTAATTACATAACATAACACGCCTTTTACACGCCTGGCACATTTCTAGACTCCGTGCTAATACTGAGATTTTTAAAAACCCAGTAATCGGGAATCGCACTTGCGGCCACTCGGCCAACGAGGCAGCAGAGGCCAGCGAGAGCAGAAATTCTAATTATAAGTTTAAAATAGCCAACACGCATTGAACAAAGGTGGTAACTAATGCTCAAACCTTCTTCGTGTGGAAAGAGGCCTTTGCTTAACAGTGCCCACTTAAAGGCCGTGATGATGATTCTAACGAAAACTTTTTTATATTAGAACTACGTTCCAAATAAAACATACATAGTTGTACACTTAGTGCGCTTGTATATGTCTACAAAGATGAACAAGCTTATCTCATCAACAGCCTGTTTTCGTCCACTGCTGGACATAAGCCTCTCCAATGGCACGCCACTGAGCTCGATCTTCAGCTCTACGCATTCAACCACTACCAGCCAGTTTACGTATATCGTCACTCCACCTAGCGGGCGTTACCTACATTACCTTTGCTTACGATGAACAAGCTTATATAGTTTCCAAAAACGTCCAAAATAAACTCACATAGCAACGTACCTACAAATGAAGGACATATTATACAAAAAACTACATTAAATAAATACTGGAAACCACTTCTCTATAACACAAACACAATTTATACAAGGTCACAATACTGACGCAGTCAGTCATTCATCATAATTACCTCAAATTACACTCATTTGAGTCAGAAAGGAAAAATAAAGCACCCTGTATTATAATGGATAACGCCCTTATATTTCTAGAAGAGGTATACAGAACGTGTGTATAGTAGTAAATACATGTAACATAAGCTTCAAGCTCTTTTATCTCCGAGGGTTAGGCAGTGGAATCATTCATTAAAAACATTTTTTAAAGAGTAATGATAGACTCCCTTCTCCCTTTTCTAATCTCTGCAATCCCTGAATCCTCAAACTCCTAATCCCCAAAAGGCCGGTAACGCACTTTTAGAAGTGCGTACGCCTCTGGCGTTTCACGTGTCAATGGGCGACGCCAATTGCGTACCATCAGGTGATCCGTCTGCTCGTTTACCGGTATATTGTATAAAAAATGGAGTTTCTGTCTCGGTCTTCTTTAATTCGAAAGTACAATTTGGAACCAGCGCCTAGCTTCACTGACGGACAGATGGACGGACAACTCCATGTTTGACGTTTCAAACGTGTCTAATTATGGATTAATTGAAATAAATACTATGACTTTGACTTGTTATATGTGACACCCACTTTCACAACTCATGAGTCCCGTGTAATATGGAGTCAGCTAATTGGCTAATGGTATAATTTTTTTTAAAGAAACAAGCCCGCCATAGCCTCACAAAACCGCTGCAACTCCTGTTTTTTTTTTTTTAAGGGGGGAAAATCATCGAATGACTGCTCCCGCCTGGGTGAGGCGGAAGGGAGTGTCAGACTCTTACTGACTAAAAACCACCCCGTTCCTTCTCCTGCACGTCGAGCCGGAGCCCCGGTTACCCGTTAGGTTCTCCGCGACTCCTAATCGGCATCGGCCCTATTGAGCCCCATCTGTGGTCGTCTGATGGCTCTTTGAGGCGCGCGCGGAACGCAACGCGCCGTACGCTCGGGTCTGTTTCTGGTCGGACGGGGAGCCACCCATGCTCGCCGTCCGCAGGCCCGCGCTTAAGGTGGCCGGAGATCGTCCCGCGATCCCCGACACCCGGTGTGTCCTTCGCCAGGATCTACAGTAGATACTACCATGAAAACACCGGAACACTGAAGTACGGCGCGTCCGAGGGACATGAACATGTCTTGGTTCCCGCAACGAAGTGAATCGGAAGATATTATATGAGGAGAAAAAAAAAACGTTAGATTATGTCATACATAAGGCATAAACCTGTAAGGCCTTTAGGAGAGCCTACATGCGTCATAGGCCTTTAAGGACCAAAAATGTTCGAAAAACAAGAAAATCCCAATAAACGTTCTGATTGACTTGGAAACCTACCCCACGAGTAAAACGACGTTGGTTTCGATTCTCGGACCAGACCTAGTGTTAATGACATTTTAAATTTTGTAATATCCTTAGACTGGACGAGTTGTCGTTGGACGAGTGGTCGCTAGTGCGACTGCCGGGCAAGAGGTCTCGGGTTCGATTCCCGTGTCGGACAAAGTCCAAGTGGGTTTTATTTTTTAATTCAGTAGTAGCACGGTGTCTGGAATTGTGCCCGGTATATGGCAATAGGCTCACCCCCTATTACATGGGACTCATAACATAAATAGTGTAAAGTGGGTGTACAGTGGCATAAAGTGCCGTAATGTGACCTTACCCTTCCGGGGATAAAAAGCGTGATGTTATTATTATCATCCTTAGTAATAAAACATACTAATGACTTAATTATAATACAATTAAGTAGATGGGTGTTAGAGGTATATTGACTAGTGTACTCTGCTCCTTCGAAGATAAAAGTCGTGATGGTATGTTTATTTGGACTATAATCACGTCTCTATCCTTTGTCGAATTATAGAGGTGAGTAGGATTTTTTCGTTATAATTGACCTTTAGTTCGATAATGGGGTAGGCAGAGAACCTTTGAAGTTTAAAGGAACTGATAATTTAAGTATTGTTTTGTTCTTGGGGTACAACAGAGAATTTGTGTTTCAAATTATTCTTAGACTAACTTTTACCCGCGGCTTCGCTCGCGTCACAAAAGAATAAAAAGTAGCCTATGTGACATTATACCAATACACACAGCGCCATCTATACCTACCAATACTTTTGTTTTTCCTCGAGAATATCATTTTTTCCGGGTTAAAAAGTACCCTATTATTTAATCCGGACTTCTAACTTTACGTCTGCAAAAATTCAAAGCAATCGGTTGAGTAGTTACGGCGTGAAAGTGGAACAAACAAACAAACTCACTTTCAGATTTATAATATTACTAGCTTTTACCCGCGGCTTCGCTCGCGTCACAAAAGGATAAAAAGTAGCCTATGTGACTATCGATCCCTTCAATTACCTTCAGTTAAAAAATCACGTTAAGTACCTTCGTTTTGCCGTTTAAGACAGGCAAAGAAACAAATACTGTTTACTCGTGGAATTCGGTTATATCGCGCTTTTTAGATTTTGCCTGCTTTTCCAAGACTCAAACTATCTTTATACCAAATTTCTTCAAAATCCGTTCAGTCATTTAGCGTGAAAGAACAACAGGAGTTATTTTCGCATTACCACAAATACCATCCTCCCATTTCAATTTAAAAGACTTTTAAGTATTTCCTATAAGGGTTTCATAATTATGCAATGTTAAAACCAAAACTGAGCGGTAAACTATATTATACGTTTTACCTTTGGGAGCAAAAACGTGCAGATTTTGGGCACTGGAATACCCGGGAACACGCTACATAAAGCTGACATGCGAAAAACAATGTTTTTCTAAGTGTACTCCAGCAACCCTCATAGTTTGGCCTTGTGCTTTATTAATGGTCATTGCAAATGAAACCTTTATGGAAATTGAAGTCTTTAAATTGAAATGGGAGGTCCGTTGGAATAATCGGAATCCGAGGAATGAGTACACTTTCACCTTTTGCTGCTGCGCCAGTTAAAATAGTTGCTGTAATAATATTCCGCCCAAGATGAGTGACACGCAGCCTGGTACCATACACAGTCTAGGGGCATCAAGATTACGCATGAGCATCACCGGAACCCCTACCTTTAATTTTAATTTATGAGAAGGCACCCCAGATAGTTCCAAAGAATTTAAGAACTCTACAGGATATGAGGTACTATGGTCTGTTTCTACTACTGTGTCTACAGATAAATATTCAGTAGTTTCCCCCACAACTTCATCCAAAATATAGTCATTTATTTTAGTGACCGTTTCATTTTTTGGTGCTAATATTGCGCGTTCGCAGAGCCATTGGTCATCATGTATTATCGTGTAAGTCAGTATAAACTTTTGCTACCAACTCCGATTCGCTGCCCACAACGTTACAAAACTCTTCCGTTAAAGTAATCATTCCCTCTGCATCTACTGTCATTTTCCCGTCACCGATATTTAGCAATGTTTCTGCGTAATGACCCGATTGAATGTCGTTGAATAATCTCACTCGCATGTTTGTGGTTAATTGTAACTTTATGACATGGTCCCATAACTTAGACGATTTTAAGCAAGCTCTTATTTCATCTGCTGGAGTCCCCCTTTGTATGACTGGTAGTGTTTGACGGAAGTCACCTGCTAATAAAACTACCAATCCTCCCATTATGCTCTTGCAGTCCCTTATATCCTGCAAAGTCCTATTGAGAGCTTCAATAGCTCCTTTGTGCGACATGGTACACTCATCCCAAACTAACAGCTTACACTGGCGCAGCATCGCGGCCCGACCACTATTTTTACTAAAATTGCAGGTTGGAGATTCCTCTTGAGCAAGATTTAGAGGCAGTTTCAATACGGAGTGCGCAGTTCGTCCTCCAATGAGCAGCGTGGCAGCAATTCCAGAGGAAGCAACGGCTACTGCAATGTTTTTATCCTTCCTGACATGAGCCAGAAGAAGGTTCAGCAAAAAGGTTTTTCCAGTGCCCCCCGGAGCATCAAGAAAGAAAAGTGCACCATTCCTTGACTCTATGCAGCGTGTTACTTCGTCGAAAATAGTTTTTTGCTCCGGTAACAATCGTGGGACCATGTTATTTACTTGCTGTTGCAGTATAGTGACATTATAATCTAGCTCTCTGGCGATGTCATTTACGCTTTCCTCTGATCGTTGTGGGCTAGTTATTCCAAATTCACTTAGTTTTTTACCAGTTATTTCCATTGTTTTATTTTCTATTTTAGTGAGAGCCTCGTTGTAAATAAAATCATTGTACGTGATGTCCGGGTGGGTCATCTGCAATCGACTTAATATATCTTCTGCCATATCATTTTTATATTTTTCCCATAGCTGTTGGGGATTTGAAACGCCGCAGGTTGAGATCAAGGTTGCAAACAACTCTCTTATTTTTGTAGGTGATCTGCATTGTATTGCTTCTATCATGGTTTCCTCCCAGTGATTATCATTCTCCAACAGACCGAGAACTTCACATGCCTCTCTGTATGTTGCGCACTCTTGTCCGTTCACAATTTTAAGGTCCCTGTGGCTAGTTGGTCCACGAATATGGTGTAGGAGCATTCTTAAACAAAAACACTCAAAATTGCACACGTGAACAGTATATACACGACCAAGAGCATCCCCTGATTTTACCCCGGGCCAGTTTTCTACTGGGGTGCCTTGAATGCGACGTTTCCACTCTTTTCTAGACGCATTCCATGTGTAGTATCGGGGAACCTCTGAATATAAAAGGGTTTTGGCAAATGGGTCGATTTGGCAAAGCTGGAAAAATGCTGTCAGTGTTGTCATTGGTGGAGACGCGATCCTTTCATAAAAATTGTTTTCATTATAATATACACGCTCTCCGTTTTCTAAATGCACGGCCAAATGAATGACAGTTGGGTGCCTTTCATGTAATGGGAATCCGAAAAGTCGCCATGCTGCCTCATTGCTGCTCACATAACGCCCCTGTTGGAAAGCCTGCACTTCGTTTATGACAGATGATCCAGCTTCCTGTATAAAATTGAACACGGCTTGATCGGTTCCTTTGTTAATATATTTACAAATATATTTTATTGCGCGCACGGAACCGCAGGCCTCTACATTTATATGGGCATTAAATATTTTACATAAAATTGGCGAGTACGGTACAATCCAACTATTGTCCATAATTTCAAAAGCTCCGCTGCGGGTTTTGATAGTAACCGTTCGGCCTCCGTCTTCAGGTGATCTTCTTCTGTATAACGGATAACCCTGTTCATTGTGGATAGTGTCTTTTATAAGTGAGCGTGGGTACTTTTTTGTGCATTTTCCCTCCTTCATACACGGTGACGTAGGGTTACGTGTGCCACAGGGACCATGTATCATGTTTTTAACTATAGTGTCGTGCAACTCTTTATCTCCTGTAGGATCAGGAATTTCAGCGTTAATCAGATTGTCAATGTGTGTAGGTCGCAGTTTCTCCTTGAGCCAAATCAAAATGTGAACATGGGGCAGCCCCCTTTTCTGCCATTCGATGGAGTACATATAACATTGCACGTCGCCAAATACTTTACCTTTGGTAATGACACCCATAAGTTTCTGTACTTTTAATCTGAATACTCTAGCTATCAAGTCGTGTCTGTCAATTGGTTTCTGACCTGGCATTAATTCATTTGTTATCTCCTTCCAAGATGGGTTACAGGTGAATGTAACAAAGAGATCGGGACGGCCGTGAGCACGTACGTATGCAAAAGCATCTTGCGTATATTCATGTAAATATCGCGGGCTATTGATAAAAGTTGATGGGAGAATGACCATCTTTCCTAAATCCCTGGGATTTACATTGGCATCGTTACTTACTGCATCTTGCAGGTGAATGTATTGTTCAGCTCGTAATTTCTTTTGGTTCAGAGTTATATAACGGAGGCGCTCGCTCTCTGTTTTAACCCACATGTCCACTAAAAACTGATGGAAAAGTTGCTTAAAACGGGGCAGCAAGTTAAAACCATTCTCACGCAACATCATATGATAAGCATAAAAATTCATGCAGGATACTTTTTTATTAGCCATGGGTTGACCTGTAGTTGGGTTGATTAATGGCAGGTCAAAATGGTAACCTTCCTGGCCTTTGCTGAAAATCAAGGGATACTGAAGGGCGTCATAGAACTTGTGAGTATCGGGTACGCGTGTCAAAGTATTATCATGCGCACGGAGGACGATGTCGCGTGATGAAGAAAAGTCACCACAAACCACTGCAGCAACATCATTGATGAGAGGCGCATTGAATCGCCTCTCGTGTTCTCCGTGCGGAGTGCGATCGGCATGAATAACCAATTTGTACTGTTCGTGAGGCATGCGGTCTAAAGCCGTTTTAAACGTATTGATAAGTTGATTATGCTCATGCAACATTCTTTGGATTTCTACTACGACCTCCCTCTCAACTCCTTGAATGTACTGACATCGCCGATCCGCTTCATTATCTTCATCTCCCATGAAATATATCTGAAGAAATTTATGTTGTTCATTGGCCGCGGGAAGCAAAGAACCGATCCTGTGGTAAACTTGGCCCTGGACAGTAAAAGTTGGTGAAAAACCAGGCATGATTATTTCCCGATCTACCCCGAAAGATGTCATCTGGAAACAGGAATTATATTTTCGAATCCTATTTAAAAAGCGCCGTGATTCATCAGAGTCAAATAAAAGAAGAGTTTTGAGGGGTTCTTCTGGTGCATCCAATGTAGGAATACGTATTTTCCCATTGAAGCAACATAGACCTGCCGTTTCGTCCTTCCATTTAAGGGCATCACAAAACCTACACTTTTTATTCATTAACCCGATGACGACCAAGGAATGGTTTTTGTAATCGATCAAAGGATCGTATTCGAATGCAGTATTATTAAACACAGACCAACTGTTTCTCATGAAAGCTCGACGCCGTTCAGCTTGCATTTCTGCATGCGCGGTTCTTCTCTCCAGAGACTCTTCTGGAGTCTCCGCCATTCTAGAAGCTGCCTGTCGCTCAGCTTGCTCCTCTAAACGTTGTTGCGTTTGAAGAGGTGTCTCATTAGCTCTCAAAACAGCTTGTCTTTCAGCCTGCTCCTCTAAACGTAGCTGCGTTTGAAGAGGGGACTCTAACGCCCTTAGTGCTGTCTGACGTTGAGCCTGTTGTGATATACGGACTTGAGTACGAATATCATTCTCAGAAGCCCTCAAAGAAGCTTGGCGAGTGGCTTGCTCCTCAAGTCTTTGCTGGCGCTGAGATGGTAGCTCAGCCGCTCTCGAAGCAGCCTGACGCTCTGCTTGAGCGCACCTTCTTAATTCAGTATGGAGAGATGATTCTTGAGATCGGGCAATTTTCATTGCCCGAGCTTTAGATGAGGTGCTCGACAAATTAGATTTGCGTTTGGAAGGCATTTTAAAAATATGGGTAAATTAAAAAATTAAAAATACTAACTAAAACTAACCTAAAAAATAAAATACAAAATAAAAAGTAAACTATAACAATCTAAACGACAAACAAAGCGACGTAATTCCCTATCGAAAACCTAACTACTTTAGACATCTACTTATAATTAGAAATAAACCACTTCACTAATCTAACCTAACCTAACCTAAAATCAACGTATAATGAAAAAAGCGACTAAAAACGACAAAACAAACTATTTTATACAATAATGAATAATATCTATACCTAGAAAAACAACACTTGTATATTCAAACCTACAGAGCGAACGAATACTAATCAATCAGGGTGGCAGATGCGTACACCGGAATACGTTTGTTATGGAAGCTCGGAACCTATACTTTCTCCGGTAACGAAACCATAGCGCCATCTAACTCGATCCTAACGCCATCTATCGAGCGTTGAAACAACAGCGTACAATATAATTGCTAATTGTTGAGTATTGTAGCCACTGATTTCGTGTACCTTTAACAATCTAAATCTCTAAAATACGCAATTTAATGTAAAATGGTTAGAACCAAAATTTTAAAGCGAAAAATATTTAAAAAACAACGCTACCCCATTTTATAAACACTCAGCTCCATCTATCGCCAAGTAGCGTAACTACTACATAGACACCAATTTCGTGTACCTTTAACAACCTAAAATCTATAAAATACACAATTCGATGTAAAATGGTAGGAACCAAAATTTAAAAACGAAAAATACTTAAAAGCACAACGTTACCACGTTTTTAAAATGACATATAAAACAGCAAATAAATGAGTAGAAAAGTGCACCGAATAATTGTAGATAGCGCCATCTATCGCCAAGTAGCGTAACTACTTCATAGACACCAATTTCGTGTATCTTTAACAACCTAAAATTTATCAAACACACAATTCAATGTAAAATGGTAAGAACCAAAATTTAAAAGCGAAAAATACTTAAAAAACACAACGTTACCATATGAAACAGCAAATAAAAGTCGAAAAGTGCACCGAATAAGTGTAGATAGCGCCATCTATCGCCAAGTAGCGTAACTACTATATAGACACCAACTTCGTGTACCTTTTATAACCTAAAATCTATAAAATACACAATTCAATATAAAATGGTAGGAACCAAAATTTAAAAGCGAAAAATACTTAAAAAACACAACGTTACCATATAAAACAGCAAATAAATGAGTCGAAAAGTGCACCGAATAAGTGTAGATTGTGTGAAATTTCCAATTAGTAGGTAATTCGTTGAATTGTTTTACATGGCATACAGCGCCATCTATACGAATACACACAGCGCCATCTATACCAATACTTTTGTTTTTCCTCGGAAATATCAATTTTTTTTGGGTTAAAAAGTACCCTATTATTTAATCCGGACTTCTAACTTTACGTCTGCAAAAATTCAAAGCAATCGGTTGAGTAGTTACGGCGTGATGGTGGAACAAACAAACAAACAAACAAACTCACTTTCAGATTTATAATATTAGTAAGGATAGTAAGGATACGTAAGATTTTTGATTCATGATCTCAGCTCCGATTTCTAGATCTTTCAGTTCAAGCAAATCATTAATGGGGATTCCAACACTTAATCTAAACCTGTCTATTAATAGTATTACCTCCTTTCATGATTAAAAAAGAGGGATGTTACATTTTATGTATGCACCTCTGCCCATCCCTCTGGGAATAAAAACCATAAAGTAATTTAATGAATATGATTAATTAGAACGCTACCGTTAATTGACATGTTTTTCAAACTCACGTTATAATTTTGAATGCCGACACCTTAATCACTGAGCCATTACGACTTATATTTTTATTAACCCTCCATTTTGAGTTTAAAAGTGTGTATTTTTAACACTGCTTACGCTTTCAGGGCATGCAAGCGTGAAGTTCGTAATGGTAATTAATTATAGTTTTTATTTAACTTAGTTTTTAGTTTAGTCTAAATTAGTTTTATGAAACATCATAGTTATTGATAGAAATGGTAAGCAGAGTCTATAAAAGTAGGTAGTTTTGTTATAAAAGATGTATTCATGACTTTGTTATTTTTTTTGTTGTTTAGTATTTTATACAACTTAAAATACTAGCAAGAAAAATAGTTACACCTCAAAAAAAAATAAATAAATAATAACTAATTATAAAAAATTCAATAATGTTTTTTACCCGAGAATAGAACCTGTACTTTTGAACAGTCAATCAAATTGGGAATTTTAATTTTGCGAATATCAAAAATTCCGATGCTTTTGAAATTCAAAAATAAAAAATTCCAATTGAAAACAAAGTTATGACCCTCGAAGACATAAACTCGTTGAAATCCATCCCCTAAATTTGGTCATACAAAAGTAGTCTCTAAACATTGGAAATAAGGTCTATAATGTAATGTAATATTAGTGGAGAGCGGTCACCGGTGACCGCTTGGAGATCTATGGGATAACCACTGAACCAACGACACAATCACAAACAATACCCCATTCTTGTTATTATTACAAAACTGATTGAACTCAATAGTTATTCAAAACATCACTAAATCGGGGCATAACGTAATTATCTAATATAATAATCGGTTATTTCTAACCTAACTAACAAAACTCGATTGTGAAAGTCAAATAATTGTTTACGTTTCGCAAAATAAACGAAACACAATAAAATCATCATATGACATAAGATAACATCACACCTTATAATCTTCGAAGTTTTGTTGGCCGAGTGGTCGCAATTGCGACTGCCGCCGGGCAAGGGGTCTCGGGTTCGATTCACGGGTCGGGCAAAATATTACTGGGCTTTTTGAAAAAATTCTGAGTAGTAGCACGGAGTCTGGAATTGTGCCCGGTATATGGCAATAGGCTCACCCCCTATTACATGGGACCCATAACATAAATAGTGAAAAGTGGGTGTTACATTGTACAATGGCAATAAATGCCGTAATGTACACCTCTGCCTACCCCTTCAGGGATAAAGAGATAGGCAGAGATGCACCTTTAACGCTATATTTCACTGTGACGCCATCTTCGCTGCCGATATCTTTAAGTTACCAAACTAGACACCAGAGTCCACATAGTGCGGGAGAGCCATGCTTCGGCACGAATGGGCCGAGTCAACCGGAGTGATACCACGGCCTCACAGGAAACCGACGTGAAACAACGCTTGCGTTATGTTTCGTCGTGTGAGTGAGGTTACCGGAGGCCCAATTACCCCCATCCCAAGTCTCCCGAATCCCTGAATCCTCGACAATCCTCAAATTCCCAATTCCCAAAAGGCCGGTAACGCACTTGTAACGCCTTGGTGTTCCAGGTGTCCATGGGCGGCGCCGATTGCTTACCATCAGGAGATCCGTCTGCTCGTTTACCGGCTTATGCTATAAAAAAAAATAGCGACAGTATCGAAATAGACTTCTTAAATGCTCGCACCACCAGTTTGGTAGCGCAACCAAGCCGATTGCAGATGACTTACTCTCTCTACCTCTATATACATTTTGTTCCTGGCGGCCAATGGCTGCGCTGCCATGGTGTACCAGTGAAATATATCCCTTATGCTGTAACACCCACATTTCTCCAGTTATGGTATGACTCATAACAGTTCTGATTCTTGTGTATAGTTAGTAAGCCTGTTGCCATATATATAGGTACCGAGCACAACCACTTAGAAATGTTACTATACCGAAAATCACTTTGCCCGGTCCGAGTAACACTTTGCCTATTCCGGAAAGTATTCTCCCCAGTCCGGGATGATCTGCCTAATATGGGAAAATCTTCGCATAGCCCAGGAAAAAACTTACCTGATCATGCAAACTCTTTGCTGGATACGAGAAATACTTTGCCTGGCGTGGAAAATATTATACTCAGCCCAGAAATTGAACCCAAAACCCCTTGCTGGACAGGAGAAGTTATCATCATTTGCAAAGGTAATTTAAAACAGTTCCATTATCACTTGACCGTCAAGGCAGTTTTTGAGATTAATTCCACTATTTATTTATAAACAAGGACAATACTGACATCATAAAAATAATTGTCTTCAATTCATGGCTATAACTATTAAACAAGTAATTATGTAGAAGGAAAAATATTTTCCTTATAAATACACTGTCATATTTAGCCTTAAGAAAAAACTAGTTTTTTATTATTACTTAGATACTAATCTATCATACTATCATGATAATCATCAAGACGTTCACTGCTGGACGATGGGCCTACATAAGAACTATATGCCACAATCTCCTTGCTCGACAGGAGAGTTGAAGATCTCAGTTAAAATGGTTCAAGTTAGTCTGAGACTGCTTTTCCTCCGTATCAAATGTGTAGACATACGCGGAAAATGTCCCTTAGGAACCCGAGGGAAAATCAAAGGTGTGGACAAATGTACTACTCTAACAGTACTATAGTAACTACAAAATTACACAGTACTAGGACTTCTATTCTGCTCCTAAGTATGATAATGTTATACAACCTTCCTGAGACTAAAGCTACTAGATATAAAAAGAATTTTCCGAAACGGATTAGCACTACCACAGATTAGCACGTACAAATAGACGAATGAACTCTTTACATTTGTTTTATGTTAGATTACGAACTTTGAATGGTACTCGTGACACGACCATAACAATAAAATACACCCAATTAAAACAAGCTTAAAATAATAACTAGTTACAAATAAACTCACCAAAAATAATCCTTTAATTACAAAAACCAAAAATATCCAGTAGGTTATGCACAACACAATATTCACACACACTTTTAATTATTCAAATTTATGTATTAATAACACTACACATACACTAGAATGTTTTTTGAATACGTTCACGTGATTGGTTGGTTGGGGCGGCGCGCGACCGACTCCGGCGCACGTTGGTAGGAGACTGGCGCATGGCGCATGAGCAAGCGCGGTGCGGCTGCGCACCTGTCTCACTAAAAAACAATGGCAAACAATAAACATAGTAGCAAGTAAGGCTACGAAACCTTTTAGAGTGCATA